CATCAAAGATTCTGCTGGCATCTGTCTCTCTCCCAATCCCGTCATACCTTCCTATAGAATCAAAGCTTCTTTTCAAATTGACAGTCTCTGGCAGAGGCGGAGGAGCCAGCAAGCAAGATAAACATAGGCTTCCTTGTGCTTACTCGCTGTTCTGCAGTGGACAGTTTCACGAGCTTTACCCAGATGCCTACTGGGTCATCTGACTGAGCAGGCAACCCTTGTCTTGCTTCTCCTTTAAAAAGAGTGTCTTCCTGTGTTTTCTTTGAAGGCTTACACAGAAGTTCAAGGTCCTATTCAATCATTTCTACCCGAATCAATCAGTGATGGCGACTGTGTTCTGCACAATGCATGAACATTCTCGATAGTTCCATTCTGGTCGTTCTGTTGACATCCATCTAGTCTCCCTGCCCCCTGACATTTTCATCTTTGTCCCTCAGACTTAACACTCAGCCCCGAACTTGGCTATTGATTTCTTGCCAGTTCCTCCTAATTCTCTGTCCTTTATGCCATCTCTACTGCGCTGCCTCAGAAACTCATTTCTCTCCCTGCTAGGGCTGGATGGGGTGTGAGGGGGAGGAGCAGTGTCCCTTTCGCTCTCAAATATGCCTAATTTGGGCAATGAGCTTGATGGTCATCTGAATTGAAAGATGTACTGATTGCTGTGAGTTCTCGATTGCTTTGTAGAGCAGAGGACTTTTCTCCCCACATGCCTGCATGCTACTTAACAGCAGTTAAAGATTTAAAGTAGCTTTCAGGGGTTATGTTTATGACTTCCAACCATTAATGGGGAAGATGTCCAGCTGAGCAAAGGAAAAAAAAGCAATTTGGGCAGAGAATGACATGTCATTCCAGTTAGCACGTGCAGGGTCCCTGTGACCACCTGTAACTGTGCATGTGTGTGTGTGTGTGTGTGTGTGTGCGTGTGCATGTGTGTGTGTGTGTGTGTTGTGTGTGTGTGTGTACCTCTACAGCCACCTACCTATCCAAAGATGTCACCATTGCAATACTTCATCCTTGGAAATGCTCTAACAAGGAACAGTAATTGTGGGCGCTTAGCACCAGAAAGGACTTCAGGAGTCGCCCAGCGAGTCCCACAGGGGACAGCCAGGCAAGTCACACAGCCAGGGCGCTGCTGCGCCAAGGTTGGACTTGGTCCACTTTTCCTGACCCAGTGCTTTCTTCTGCTCTATGGCATTTCTCTTTGGACCCTCTAGATCGCTCCCACCTGACTCCTAATGAGAAGAGAGAGGCACCGTCTAAAGTGGAGTCCCCACCTCACCCCACATGCCCTCACTTGGTATTGATGAGTATTGATTGATAGTCGAGTTATGGGATCCGACAGATTAGAAATCACGTCTCTATGTTGCCCTGGTGTTGGAAACGACCTTGGCAAGTTTTCACGTCTCAGCAAGGGAATCGTGGTTGTGATGGGGATTGAGTGAGCTAGCCAGTATAAAACCTTTAACGGCCAATCAGAAGCTGTGTCTTTCTTCTTCTCGGTGAGGCCTTTTCCCCTCGGTAGCACATCTCCAGGGAATCTCAGCCTTGGGTGTCTGTTAGAATGAGAATGCACCTACATCATTATTTGGAGTTTCTGGGTGGCGCAGATAAACGATGGATGGCATTCAGCGGTTAACTGAAAAGTTCAGTGTTCTGAGGTGCCTCAGAAGAAAGGCCTGGCCATCTACTTCCACGAAATCAGTCACTGAAACCCCCGTGGAGCACAGTTCTTCTCTGACACACACGGGGCTACCATGGATCAGAATCAACGTGAAGGCAACTGGCTTGTTTTGGCTTGGTCCATTCGTCGTTCCCATTCAAAGAGGGGCCACCCGGCGTGTGGTCCCAACCAGGGGCTATGGAAACAGAGACTTTGTGAGAGGAAGGAGGTCTGGGCCAGAATGAGGTTCACCTGTGAGGCCAACGAGTGTCCCCGAAGCTCCACATCCTTTCTCCAGCCCTCCGTGGCCTCCTTTGTAAAGGGAAGGCCTTGGGCTTGATCTCTGGCGTCCCTGCCAGCTCTGGCAGCCTGTATTCCTGCTTCCTCTTCCCCTGCTCGTCTTTCCAGGCTATTTGTCATAAACAAACTCTCGTAGCCCACAAGTAGAAAGAGGAGCTGCCCCATTCAATGGCCTTAGTACTGATGGAAATGCTGACTGAGAGTCTGAATAGGGGTTGAGATGACGCCCTTGGCTTATCACTGAAGCTGAAAGCAGGGGCGTTGTTCAAGAGGACAGAGAGCGTTCCTAGAATTGGAAAGCTCATAGGATGGATGGACACAGTTAGAAAGCCAAGGTTCCTCTCCTGGTTTTCTGTGTCTATGGGCCGAGTGACCTTGAACAAATCAGTTGAGGTCTCTGAGCATCATTTCCCTAATCTCTGGGTGGGGGGCGGGGGTGGAGGGGAGGCAATCTGTAGCAGATTCTGTAGGGAGATGTAGGCAAGATTAAAAGGCGGGCCCCAGCCCAGTGCTGGGATGCAGAAGGCTCTGCGTTCCTGATGCATATCAAGTGAGGCTGCCTGGGTAAGGCAGATGAAAGCTGGCTATATGCGTGACCTTGAGGGAGCAGTGTGCTTACCCTACATCAGTGCTTCTCAAAAGGGGAGGACTTGGTCCACCCCACCCCCAGCCCAGCACCTATTTGGCAATGCCTGGAAGCTTTTTGGGTTGTCACAACTGGGTGTAGGAGATTTCTCGTCATGTAGAGACCAGACATGCTGACACAGAGCCTACACTCTACAAGCCAGCCCCTTAGCCTGTTAACCGTGCTGAGGTATACGGATTGCTAGGGTCTAGCGCGTGGTAAGGGCCTGTTCTTGGGGGGAGGGGAGGGGCAAAAGACCCCAAATCAAAATATTCTAAAACCGCATTGTCATCAAGTTCGTTCTGACTCAGAGACCCTACAAGGCAGGGGATGCAAGACTGTCACTCTCCATAGGAGTGGAGAGCCTCGGCTCTCCCCCGAGAGAGGGGTGCCTTTCCCACCCTGAAAGAGGACAAAAGACCAAACCAACACTCGTCCAGATGTAGGAGACCACCCGTCTGAGGCCGAGAGGGAGTCCAGTGAGCTGATGAGTTCACAGGCAGGGGCCTAATTCTAGAGGATGGAGAACAAAGGACACGCAGTGAACAGATCACAGAATTTTCCCGAAACTTTTCAAGGCCCCCTTGTGTACCTTTTTCCTTGAAGTCACAACTCCCTCCCCTTGCCTCCCTCCCTCCCACCCCAACATCTGTGATATTTCGTGTGCTTCTTGGCCCTTTATGTGCATCCCCTTTGGTTCATCTGCAGACGCCCAGTGTCCCCCGGGCCTGCCTGCACAGGTGATGGATGCCTTTACAGTGTTTGTTGGGTGGGTGAAGAAACCTGTTGCCATGGAGATGGCTCCAGCTCAAAGGCAACCCTGTAGGACCGAGTAGAACGGCCCCGCAGGGTTTCCAAGGCCATGATCTTTCCAGTAACACATCATTTTCCCCCAGCGTGGCTGGTGGCTTCAAACTGCCCACCTTTCCGTTAGGAGCAAAGCACTTAACTACTACACCGCAAAGGCCCCTTGAGTGAACTGGACCCTGGATGACATGTGCTCCCCTTCTGACCCTTGCAGGTCAAGGACGTGGTGGGCTATACCTCTTTGGGCCACTGCTTCTTCACAGAAGATGGGCCAGAGGAACGCAACACCTTTGACCACTGTCTCGGTCTGCTCGTCAAGCCTGGGACCCTCCTGCCTTCCGACCGTGACAGCAAGATGTGCAAGACCATCACCGAGGACTCCTACCCAGGATACGTCCCCAAGCCCAGGCAGGACTGCAAGTAAGCGGCTCTTCTCCCCCCTCCGGGTGTGCCCGAGAGGGCCTGGAGCCATGTTCGCTCAGCTGTTTCGCCCATCTTTCCACTTCCCCACTTCCGGCTTCATAGTCCTTCACCCGCTCACAGCTTCTGGGAAAGGAGGCGAGAGTGTGTGCCTCCTCTGTATTATTCTTGTCCGAGGAGCCATGACCTCACCAGTGGGGCATTTCCTGGTGCCCACGATGCTCCTGGACAGGAAGTGGCTGCCTCCTCCTCTGCCAGTCTGAACACACAGGCCCTACCCATGGGTCCCCATTTCTAGACCCGAGCGAGAGAGTGTGACGGAGAAAGCGCTTCTGTGCTGCCAACCTCTTGTTCCTGAGCTCTTTGGACTTAATGTCCATTTTATTTGCTGTAACTTTATTTCCTGAGAATTACTCTTCTGTTTAAAGAGTTGATTGTGTTTCCGCTCAGCAGTTCGCACGCACGTGGTTCCATGTCCCTGATTGCCGGCCCACAGTGGAGCATCACTCACCGTGTTCTGCTTCTTCCCTGTGCAGTGCCTATTTCCATTCCTCTTTCCTCTCCACCCCATCTGTGCTTCGGGCTTGGGTAAAGACTGCCCTTGTGATCTCTAAAGGCGGCTCGTTCTAAAAAGGGCACACCTCACTAACGGTCCCCGTAGATTGTCTGGTGAAAATTGAGCCACGGGGGTGAGTTCAGTCCAGGCCTGAACAAAGGGTTCCACTAGCCCCGAGTTGACCAGTAAGCATGGCCTTTTTAATGATTTTGAGTTTTAGTCCACATTTTTCTCCCTTCCTATCCAGGACTTTTAATTCAGTGGTTCTCAACCTTCCTAATGCTGCGACCCTTTAATACAGTTCCTCCTGTTGTGGTGACCACCCCCAACCATAAAATTATTTTCATTGCCACTTCATAACTATAATTTTGCTACTGTTATGAATGGGGTGACCCCTGTGAAAGGGTCATTCAACCCCCAAAGGGGTCGCGACCCACAGGTTGAGATCCACTCTTCCAACATGATCCTGTTCGCAGTAGTTGGCAGTAGTAGCTGGGCACCATCTAGTTCTAATGGTCTCAGGGTCTGGAGGCAACTTACATGCATTTTCAAATCAGTGTCACGCTTCTCCCTCGGCATGCTTCTACCTGGAAGGGGCATACCTGTTTCAACTTCTGAATATTATTCTGAGTATTCTAAATGCTTACATGCAACACACTTTAACAAGAAAACTGGGTTTCAGATCAACAAATCAATGACCTCTTAAATCTCTGAAAAGAGCCTCTTCAGTATGAAAGTGTCTGGCATGTGTCCACCGGAGCAGCGGGATGAGAGCTGGGGACCCTTCAGATGATGTCATTCCATCTCTCGCCCCTCCCCTAGTGCTGTGTCCACCTTCTGGATGGCCAATCCCAACAACAACCTCATCAATTGCGCTGCTGCAGGGTCTGAGGTGAGCAAAACTACCCTTCCTTGGCGGACAGTCAAGAGGAGGGTTGGGGTGGGAGATGGCAAGGGCAAACACTTGTCCTCACCTGGAAACACGAGTGTTTGGTTGCGAGCTCCACGTCAAGGCCTCCACGAGGCCCGACCGTAAAGAAGGAAACACGCCCGGGCTAGGAGGCTGATGCCTTTGGTTTGAAGTGGCAACATTGTCGCTTCACAGTACTGGTGATCATGGCTGACTGAATACAAGCCATCTTCATGTGTAAGGACTTCTTGTTAGAACGAAACTATTGTAGCTTGGAATGGTGTCTGGCACGGACGGTTGATCCTCATTACGCTGAGTCTTGCCTTGGTGAATCTGCCCCGTGCTGTAATTCATTTGCACCCATGACACCAACACTCGTGGTGCTGTTGTGGTCCTTGGCTCACATGTGTGCAGAGTTGGACTTGAGTGCCCTGTGTGTGGTTCCCAGCCGAGGTCCCACGAGACTGGCTCAGTCTTCCCGACGTTGTAGACCATGTGATTGTTTGCTGGACTGACTCAGGCCCCAACTCATGGCAACTGGTGCACCACAGGATGACACACTGCCTGGCCCAGCACATCCCCATTGTCTGCTGCCGTTCAGAGGGTCCTGACCCAGGAGGCTGTCACCGACTAAATATTTACAGTAGATGGCCAGGCCTTTCTTCCTCACCGGTGTTAACTTGGAAACTCTGCTGAGCTCTGCACAGCATCCTAGCAGGACACGAGCCTCCACTGGTTGAACGTGAGGTGCGATCGATAGGAATCGAACCCGCATCTCACACATGGGAGTCAGGAAGTCTACCCCTGAACGATGACCCCTTTTGCTGTAAGAAATGACTGTATGTGTTCTGAGCTAGAAAGTAGTTTAATTTCTGTGCCTACCTATGAGGTAGCTGCCATTAATACCCCTCACTGGCTAGCTAGGACACTAAGGCAGGGGCTGCTGATGGGGCTGAGGACGGGAGGGGGCGAGCAGGACCGGAACGTGGGCATTCTGTCTACAAGCCTTGCCTACTGTTTTATGTGTGCTGCTCTCTGTGGAACCTTGAGCCAGTTGGGGGCTCTGCACCCCAGCATCTGTAGAACCAAAAGGAAGAGCTAAGACCGTGAGTGAGTGGCGCCTCGCCCCGAGCTCCAGTGAGCCTCTAAAATCCCCCACTTGCATCAGGAGGCAGAGTCTAAACCCTGCAGTGACCAGAGCCCACAGCCGCTGGAGTAGGACCCAAGGGTGCTAGCTGACAGTTAACAGTTAGCACACACTAGGTCTGCTCTGCACTTTTCCATGTATCCTTTCGGGACCTGGACCACGTGGGGGCATGTTCGGGGATGGACGGACCGTTATGGTGCTCATTCTAAATCTGCCCTCTGAATGGACCACTGCCACCCTGGTGAGCAGGCGCTGAATTCTGTGGCTCTCTCCTTGTGCCCTTCCCAACAGGAGACTGGATTCTGGTTCATTTTCCACCACGTGCCGACAGGCCCCTCAGTGGGAATGTACTCCCCAGGTTACTCCGAGCACATTCCGCTGGGAAAATTCCATAACAACCGAGCACATTCCAACTACCGGGTAAGTCTTTCCAGCCAGACTGCACCTCAGTGGCTGGCTCTTGGTTCCCCTGGGCCGGGCCTGCAGATGATTATCGCTGGCTCGGCCCCTTGGCAATCCCCTGGCGCAGGGGTTCTCCACCTTCCTCATGCCGCGACCCTTTCATACAGTGCCGCATGCGGTGGTGACCCCAACTGTAACATTATTGTCATTGCTACTTCATCACTGTCATTTTTCTACTGTGATGAATCGGGTGACCCCTGTGAAAGGGTTGTTCAACCCCCAAAGGGGTCGCGACCCACAGGTTGAGAACCGCTGCCCTGGAATGACCGTATTCCTGGCGTGGGTCTCTAGACAATGGAGAATCTTTCCCAGGCCTCCCGGACACCAGCCTTTCTTCGCCCGCCTCTCCCATGCAGGTCTTGAAACAGCAGTGACTGCATCTGGCCAGAGCCCAGAGGCCGCGCAGGTGTTGGCACTCAGGCCGATGGGAGGAGGGCTTCCTTGCCTGTCTCCCCTGAGCGGGCAGCGGAGCTGGACTTGGCCTCTTCCTTGGTGGGAAGGGGTAAAGTGCTGACTGTGCACAGTTGGACCTGAACCACAAGCTGAAGAAAACCAGGTTCTAAAGGAGGGTGGACCTCTCATTGAGGGTCTTCCTCGTTATTACTGACTGGAAGGAAGCTGGTCCCTCCCGATGGAGGCGAGAAGTCTCACTAGCCTCACTTCTAAGGAGCATTTTGGCCATGCATGTTGCAAGAGAGATTTTCTCATTCTTCTGGCAGTTCAGGAATATACTCAATATTCTTATTGAATATATTCGATACCCATAATCCAAATGCAATAAATAATAAATCGATATCAATAAACGGTGGAGGTAGCATCCTCTCCTCGGCTCCCTTTCACTCTGTGTCTGGAGACTTTGCTCCGTGGTCTTGGACGAGCTGCCTAACCTGCTCCCCAGACTGACCCTGAGAAATGCAGAGCCGGTGGGGCAGGCTCTCCCCCTCCCCCTCCGCGGAACCTTGACGTCTATCGATAAAGTGGCCTGAGATCCGAGCTGGGTTTCCCAGGCCCTTCAAAAGCATGTGATGAGGCTCGGTGTGCGGCGTGCCCGAGAAGCTAATGTGCCCCTGTGTCTCCTCTCCTCTCCCCAGGCTGGCATGATCATAGACAACGGGGTGAAGACCACAGAGGCCTCTGCCAAGGACAAGCGTCCCTTCCTCTCCATCATCTCTGCCAGGTAAGCACCCTCCACGTGGACCTCTCGGCCCAGGTCTTTATTCCCTTGCATTCATTCATTCACTAAGTATCTGCCGAACATTTTCTTGTGCTCCGCGTTGAGCGAGTTACTGGAAATGCCACGGTGAATTCGGAGCAGGGCGACGACTGAATGCCCCAAATGTTGGATTCGGGTTCCATCAGCCAAAGGGAAATAAATCCCTGGAACTTTCTAGATCCCTCAGCCAATGCCATTACCTGGGAAGCCAACGGGGATGTCCAGGGCTACAGCAAGTTGGGCTGGGGTGAGAAGGTGAAGAGAAAAAGGCGGCAGGAATCTGGCTATCAAGTAAAGGGGCAGGGAGGGACATGCAGGCTGTGGCTACAAATGAAGCTGGAACCCGGTTGAAGGCCAGAGACTGCTTTGGCAAGCTTCTGTTCAGCCCTCAAAGTAATCTGCAAAACCAGTGTCCTCTAAAGAGAGTGATTGGTTATTTTCATCAGCAGTGGGTGATGCTGGTGGTCTGGTGATGTCCGTGGAAGGTTTTCACTGGGCCGGACATCGTGAGCTTCAGGCTCATCACTCCTTTGGGTGGGTGAGAAGCTGAGAAAGGGCACCAGCTAGCTCCAGGTCCCCCTAAGCAATTCAAGACAGCCCCACCCCTCTGAGAGCACTAGCCACAGTTCATGTCTGGTTTGAGACAAGCTGTCAGGATGTTCCCCTGCTGGGGAGGGCTCTGCCTTGGTGCTGATGGACAACAGCAAGGCCAAGAGTCCACAGTGTGCTCAGACAGTTCATTCCTGAGCCCAGGGGCTTAGTGGGTGTCTTCCTGGCCCCCGAGTAGAGAAAAGCTCACAAAGCGTAGGCGGGAAGAGGCCTAGCCGTGACCCACCAAACCACCCACCGTGTGTTCCAGGTACAGCCCCCACAAGGACGCCGACCCGCTGAAGCCCCGGGAGCCGGCCATCATCAAACACTTCACTGCCTACAAGAACCAGGACCATGGGGCCTGGCTGCGGGGCGGGGACGTGTGGCTGGACAGCTGCCGGTGAGTGGGGAGCCTGTGGGGCTCTCGTAAAGAAGGTTGAGGCCCCTCCCGTGGGCATGGAGGGAGGAGGGAGGGGAGAGAGTAACTGATGCTTGCTGATGGTGGGCTTGCTGGGATGCCCAACCAGAAAGGGACACAGTGTGGGGACAGGCAGTCATTGGAACCACTCAAGCCCACATACTAGCTTCTGCCTGCAAGGCCAGGTGCCCGGATTTGCCTCCGAATAGGCACTGGACTTGGGCCAGCCCGTGAAGGGAAAGACGGAAACCACCGTGTTTTGAGCGCCTATTAGGTGCCCAGCTCTTGGCTTCAGGCTTTTCTTCCCGTGCTTCTCAAAGACTTGGATGCTTGTCTTCGCTTAGAGATGAGGAACTGAGGCTCAGGTTTGTGTTTCCCAAGTTCCCACCCCCCAGAAGTGGTTGAACAGGGACTGAGACGGGGTCCTTGGACTCTCAGGGCCAAATGACGCAGACAAGATCTCTGGGTTCTATAGGGTCCCCATAGAGAGCCACTAGCCACTGTGGATGAGGATCAGAAGGGACAGGCCGCTGGAAAAGGTGGACACTAGAGGCAGGGAGGAGTTCTCCCCTCCATGCGAATTTCACTGAATGAGAAATGGGAGGAGATGTTGTCTGTCTGCTCTTGTCCCCCAGGTTCGCTGATAACGGCATCGGCCTGACGCTGGCCAGGTAAGAGCCACTGTCGCGGTGTTTGGGCTTCGGGGGACGGTGACTCTGGACATGTCATCCCAAGCGCCTTCTGTCCCTAGTGGTGGCACCTTCCCCTATGATGACGGCTCCAAGCAGGAGATAAAGAACAGCCTGTTTGTCGGCGAGAGCAGCAACGTGGGCACGGAGATGATGAACAACAGGGTCTGGGGCCCAGGCGGCTTAGACCACAGCGGAAGGACCCTCCCGATAGGCCAGTAGGTTTGCAACCCTGGCGGCTCCTTTGTTCTGTGGGGCCGAGCCTCCCTCGATCTCACCTGTAGCAGGAGACTCAAGGAACTAGCAAACTCCCTTGGATTTAAAGCTGCAGGGACCTAGTGGCAGAAGCAGCAGGTGGCTGCTCTCCCCAGGTGATGGAAGTGGTGGCCAGTGGGCTTTGGTGCAGATCTCTTGCTTTAAGGGTGCCCCATGAGTGGTGGCCCAGGACTACCATCTATTTACCATGGTTAGGCCCTCCTTACTTTCTTGGAACATGTATTAGTCTGGTAGGCCTGATTCCGCCTTTGTTTTTGTTTTCTAAATCATTTTATTGGGGGCTCATACAACTCTTATCACAATCCATCCATCCATCCATCGTGGAAAGCACATTTGTACACTCATTGCCCTCATCATTCTCAAAAACAATTGCTCTCCACTTAAGCCCTTGGCATCAGCTCCTCATTTTCCCACCTCCCTCCCCTCTCCCCCCTCCCTCATGCATATAACCTCCTCCCTGGGGGGTGGACAACAGAAAAGTGGGTGAAGGGAGACCTCAGACAGTGTAAGACATGACAAAATAATAATTTATAAATGATCAAGGGTCCATGAGGGTTCCACTTTTGTGAGCGAACCATGTGGCTTCTTTGTTCTACGCAGCTTCACCTGGTCGCAGCAGTGAAAGGAACGGGGCTAGGTGATGATTCCTGCCTCTTGAGGATGCTTCCCCAGCCTACTAGCCAGAGAAATCATTGAAGCACACAAAAAATATATGAAGTAACAGAAGAAACCGAGAATGGACAGAGAAATGAACACGCGCACACACACATTGTTGAATAAGAGTCCCCCGGGCCATGCGGCCCTCGGTCCGAGTGTAGACTGGGGCTGCGCTGTGGGGCACTCCGTATCTGGGATGAGGGGCGTCGGGTTCCACTCTCCTCTGACGACAACACCCACTTGGAGCCATTTCGCCCACTTCTGGGGATGATGAGTGATGGAGTCAGACCAAGCACCCAGAGAGGAGAACCACGGAGGTGACACAGCCCCAGTCATGTCATATGCAGACTGGAATTTTCAACCACGAGAGGGGAACCTACTTGGGGACCACAATGGGAGGTATCGTCACAGAAAAGACCACATTCGCTCTACACAGGCCCGAAAGATGGATTTGGTTTGGTGTAGGAAAGACTTTTCTAAGGGACAGACGTGTTCAACAGCTCAGTCAGAAAGACTTCTCTAAAGATCAGGATAGCTCGGGCTCTCTTGAGGAGGAGGCATTGGCTCTCTGCTGCTAGAGGAGTTGAACAAAGATGAGCCCCAGGTTGTTGGAGAAGAGAGTCGGGGGCTTGGCGAGTTGATGGGCTAGCCTCAGGATGCCCAGCGAACCAGCCTGAAGCAGTGATGGAGGACCTCTGTCTACCTTCTCACTCACTGTGGCTCTGCTCCAAGGAAAAGTGGAGCCAGAGAGTCAGGTTGGGCTCTGCAGTTCTCCTGTCCCCCTTCCTCTAGAAAATATAAACGCAGCCACTACAGTCATGGCACAGGACATACATAGACCTGAACTGCTTCCCACCCCCACAACCCAAGTAGACATTTACCCTGGGCAAGGTTATGCCAGGGAAGAGTTGCAGGCTTCTTTGGCATTTGCAGGAACCCGGTGGCTCTGTAGGCTAGGTGTTGGGTTGCTAACCTCCAGGTTGGCAGTTCAAACTCAAGACCTGCTCAGTGGGAGAACAATGAGACCATCTGCTCTAGGAAAGCTTTGCCGTCTCCGAAACCCTAGGTAGGGTCTCTCTGAGTTTAGAATCGACTCGGTGGCAGGGGGTTGGTTCTGTTGAGTTATTGGCATTCTCTGTTGGGAAATCCTTGCTTCTATCTGATGCAAGCGGTGCAGCAATCCTTTCAGATCATGTTTATGAGCCACTCTGAGTCCGCAGAATCAGGGCTCCTTCGCGGAAGCTTACCAGCCTCCCGGGGCCAGGATGCTCTGATGACTTCCAGAGATGAGCTTGTTTATGGAAACCAAACAGCTATGTCAGGCTCCGGCAGGTTCTTCAAACTGCATTTGACAGCAAGAAACTAGGGCTGTGCAGTCATACTCATGAGTGATTAATCCTGGATGGGACTGAAGGTACAATAAACACCTCGTTTAAACAGAGAGCTGGTCAGAATGACTGTCCCTAAAATACCTTACAAGGAAAAACGCATGGAGCCATCCATAAGGATAGGGATTCAAGGCAATGGGCTAATCGATTCTAAAGACAAAGATGTGGAAGTACAAGGAGCCTTTGGTAACCATCGATGGCAGGGCCCCGGCTGGTGTGTTTAGGGACCTTCTTCAAGGATCGATATCTGCACTGAGGGAGTCCGGGCTGAAGCTCTGGGACCCTTCCCGCAGGCGGAAGGCTTTGCTTCCCCGCTTTTCCTCCTAAGTCCCCTGTGGACTCAGGGACAGAGACACAACTGTAAACACAAAGGATGGATTTGGAAAACAAGCCTAGAGTTGGAGCGAGGCCTAAGAAGGAGAAGACTGTGCGGTGGAGTGCGCCAGGAAGCCCAGCAAACGCCAGTCGGGTCCTGGCTTCCCATGCCCGCTCAGTCGTCAAAGGCCAACGAGAGTGGCTCAGGGTTCTGGTGCCCCTCAGTGCGTCGGGCCACAATTCCTCCTCTCACACGGTTACCACTATCCAGCCCCTCTGCTTCCCAGACAGTGCATTCCCAATCACAAGACTCGGGACAAGGAGAAGGGAAACTCATGTGGGTCTTAAACAGATTTGATGGCTCGAACCACAAAGACTAAGGCAACAATGAGTAGGAACTCTGTCTCCCCAGGGACATGGTATTGGCACTCGCTAGTGTTTATCCAATGACTCTTCAGATGGCGGGAAACTGGAGGGAATCATTGTGTAGAGTGTCATCCCCAACCACGAATGCAGCAATGAGACGAAGACCCGTCCCTGCTTTCATTAGCCCAGAAACGTCCATTGGTTGACCCATTCTGTGTCTGTAAGCGCCCTTTGGATGAATTAATGCGTGAGTCATTACTCTCTGGAGCGAGGGGGTCAGCTCTAGGGAAGAGTCCGGAATGGCTCTGCCCAAGCCTTCTCTGTGGCCAACCCTCCCAAGGGGTGGGAAAACATGGCGGCCCGGGCTAACGTCCGCCTCCCTTCACTCCGTAGGAATTTTCCAATCCGAGGAATCCAGTTCTACGACGGCCCCATCAACGTCCAGAACTGCACTTTCCGAAAATTTGCGGCCCTGGAGGGCCGGCACACCAGTGCCTTGGCCTTTCGCCTGAACAATGCCTGGCAGAGCTGCCCCCACAACAACGTGACCCACATTGCCTTTGAGGATGTCCCGGTGAGTGAGGTCCCAGGGCAGGCTCCCTGGGAGCGCAGACTTTGGGCGGTGATTCACAGGTCTCCTAGGGCCTGGGGGTTGAGCCGTTGCCACCACCACAAGGGTTGAACTGCCTTCTCCAAGCTGGCTGGGCCGGGTCCAGTTCTCTCTGCATCCAAACTGGAAAAGTACAAGCGGAGGTTGCCACACAGGTCATGTCTGGGTGAATGACCGCTTGCCCTTAACCCTGTTCTGAGGTCCCCCAAGTCTCAGCAGGAACCGTACACTGGACTCAGGGTTCAGAAGGACGCCCTCCAGCATCTTGGTCTGGACATACTTGGTGTTTTGACCAGTGATTTTGCATAATCAATCTCTCTCTCTCTCTCTGTCTCTCTCTCTCTCACACACACACACACACACACCAGCAGCAGTTTCCACGGGAGGCCTTTCTGGAAGATGCTCTGCTTAATTTCTCCTGAGAGTGGAATATCAACAGGGGCTTCCTTGCCATAGAAGGGGCCACAGACCAGGAGCTGGGATTGAGAGACCAGGACACGGGGCGGGCGCCCTTTCAGACTAGACCCGTCCCTACCTCCTAGCACTCTTTCTTCCAGTTATGGGTTTCCCAGACCCTGCCCTCCTCCTCGAGGCCCCTGCCCTCTGCCCGTCTGTCCATTTACTGGCACGCCGAGGGAAAAAGATGTGAAACGCAAGTTCCTTAATGACTTTCCTCAGGCCACTGTGGGCCTGGAGGAGGTCATGGAAATCTCCAAGCACTCATGCTGAAAAAACAATCTTTCTGAAGCGCACACATACACACACACACACACACGTAGTTTTACTTTCTTATGCAAACATTCTCAGCACACCTCCCTTTTCCTTTTCCCCTCTCCTCCCCTCCCTCTCTCTCTGTCTCTCTCTCACACATACACATACCTGTGTGCATGTGAGCACACACACACCTGCTTTCTTATACAAAAATCTCCCCACCTCTCTTCTTCATACACACACATTCTCACACTTTTACCACCCACACACACACTTTCTCAGAGAAACATTTATTACTCACCCCTCTCTCTCCCTTTCCCTCATTCTCTCTCTCTCTCTCTCTCTCACACACACACACACACACACACACACCCTCCCCTCATGGCATCTGCGTGCTCTGTGAGCCTAAGTGTCAGAGTGTCTCTGGGTCACCCACATAGCCAACTCTCCCTCCACTGAGCAGAGGATAAGATGACGTGCTCGGCCCGTCATTGAGGCTGGGTGCATGCTGGCTCTTTTTCTGGCTCCATCTGAGGGTCAGGCATGCGGCTTCCTCCAGCGCCCAAGAGCATCTTTGCTTTGGCCGGTGTGTAATGTCAGCGGAAATCGGAAACTTTGCCCTGGTCTGATGACGGCTGCAGTTTCCCTTCACCTCTGGCCCAGCCTAACTTTCCTGGGCTCTGTTTAGATTACTTCCAGAGTGTTCTTTGGGGAGCCTGGGCCTTGGTTCAACCAGCTGGACATGGACGGGGACAAGACCTCTGTGTTCCACGATGTGGATGGCTCCGTGTCGGAGTACCCTGGCTCCTACCTCACCAAGGACGACAACTGGCTGGTCCGGCACCCAGATTGCATCAACGTGCCTGACTGGAGAGGAGCCATCTGCAGCGGGCGCTATGCACAGGTGGGACGCCAGGGCCACCTCTCCGGGTCCAGTCAGTTACTCCCCCAGGCACCAAGCATGTAGTGAGTGCCACCTTGATGCCAACTCTCTTCTGGGTCAGAAAGAGATACCCACCCCACCCACCCCACTGCCGTCGAGTCCGCTCCGACTCCGACTGACCCAATAGGACAGAGCAGACCTGCCCCGTAGGGCTGGTTTCTGAGGCTGTAGATCCTTACAGGTGCAGAAAGCCTCATCTTTCAGTCCCATGAGCAGCCCACCGCTTAATCTGCTGTCCCACCACTGTCCCCGAGAGAGGGGCTGGCCTCTTCACCCATCCAAAGGCATTGCACGCATAACGCTTAGAAGAAAGTGCTCTGAAGTCAAACGTGTGG